TCTTGGTGGACGGGGCAGACACTTTTCTCCATCCGATTCGTTTATTTCATGCAAAAACGCGTCGAGCCTAATTTCATCAAAAGCGGTGAGGAAGACGGAATTCAGGAGTATTACCCAAAAGTTAAAGCGAGTGATTGACAAAACCAAACGCAGGCATGGCTAAATACAACTTAAGTATGAATGGGACCAAATACTATTTCTCGAGAAAAATTAATAAAATTTGTCTTAAAACATCATCTATCGATTTCCCGATTTGAGGATTTGGAACTTTTGCAGTTTACTCATCGAAAATTCGGAACTGTTTCCCCAAGTATAGAGAATAAGCAAAAATATATGAGATTATCAAGATAATTTGAGATTATTAGACGTGAAGATTACCTTTGCTTTGATAGACGAACGGAAGCAAGAGATATGAACTTGTGAACAATGTTAAGGAGAGATAATAAAACTGACCTTGAACGATTTAACAATTCAGGCTAAACCAGGCTAAACTAACGTTCCGAGCAATTCTGAGGACGCAGAAGGTCACCACTCCTTAGCAGTGATGCAAACTCGCGCTGATCGTGTATGCAGGTCAGTGTTGCCAACTCGTTGAGAACTTTGAGTACACGAGTACGTCTGGGGTGCGTTACAAAACTCAACTCTCAACTCCGAAAATTTTTAATGTATGTTTAATGCAGATTTAACTGTAAATACCATGGCGGATAGAAAAATTTAAGACGTAAGATTTTTTTAGAGTAGCCCCGACTGGCCTCGACTTCATATATAAATGATCCAGTATCGAGATTGCTGCACCCGCTGCACCAAATGAGTAACACAGTTAAAACAAAGTCGAAAAATGATGCAATACCCGCAAAAATGACGTAGCCCGGCCGGACACCGGGTGTCTGCGTTTATGACGATGTCACGTCGCAAGGACCCGCGTCAGAACGAACAATTAAACGGATCGTCCAAATTCACGAAATGAACAAGAGGGATACAGATAACTAGGTCTAAGTCGGCAACTCTCAAAAATATACATTATATAGCATCCGAACCGAAATGTATCCGTCACGGCCGAAGTGGTTCTCCAGAACTAGATGTTAAGACTTAAATAGTAAACGAATCAAAGATCGTAAGATCTTAATATAAGGCTGGAGTCCTTTGAGACGTATTTACTGCGTATCGCGTAACCAATCAGTAATCAGCAAAACGCGAAATCACAACGGCAGATTACTTCTGATTGGTTACGCAGTTACGTGATACGTGACAAGTACGACTTATGAGAGTCTAGCCTAAATGTAGGATTCACACTGGGTGCTTTTCAATTGATGACACAAGTCGACACAAGTATCGTTCTATCTTTCTTGACATTTAGAGATTGACAAAGATAGAACGACACTTGTGTCGATTTGTGTCATCAATTGGAAAGCACCCACTGTATACGACATCCGGTACGATGGTACATACATACAATATCCAATATCGTACGCAGTGTGAATCCTATCAGCACTACAAATCAAAATGTGGAATAGCGCTGATTGGTTGCTTCAATGAAAAAGAATTGTTATTTTAAGTTTTAAATTCCTTTTTCTAAATTTAAATTTTGTTCATTTTTATAATAACGATATTATAAAATAAAAGTTCTTTTACATATATGTAAAAAGACTTTTCTTAACTTAATATATGTATATGAAAAGACACGCACGCACACAGTTTACCAGCGTCATTATTCTCAGAGTCTTCAATTATCTCTTCATTTACATATAGGTGCATGTTTTCCAGAATTGACTCGGCTTTGTCATCATTTTCTTGTTTGTTCTCTTTTATTTCTTTAAAATAGGTATAAATACAGAAAGAAAATGTAGTGTATACGTATACATATACTTATTTATTATTTATTTATGTTTTATTAATTTATTTATTCGTTTAGTTTACAAGGGTCATCATGTTTCGAGGTTATTGACATCTCTAGCTGTCCCTTTCAAATTATCGCGGTGCAAATGTTTGAATGACGGATTCCGGCTTTTGCGCCATGTCTGCGCAGAACGGTACGAAATTCGTCTGGAAAACATTTAAGTCTTCCACCATGTTGAATGTTCCGTTCTTCTGCTGTGTCCCATTGGAGAGCTTACGATGGTTAAACGTATATATTAATTAACAAAGTTATTATTATGAATTACTGTTTATTATTTTATACAATACTATCTTTACGGTAAGAAAATTCTGCTTTATAAATGTATATTTTAATATTTTAATAAAATTTCATTAATTTTATTTTGTAAAAATTTTTTAGCACCGTTATAGAGGTTAGATTTTGAATTAGAAAAACATTTTATGAAATTTTATTCTTTTAATTTGTAATATTGTAATTTTTTTAAATATTTTTATTTTTAAGAGCACTATATTATTTATATAGAACATGATTTTGAATTTCGTACAATTTTTTTTGAAAGATTTATATTGATTACTGATATATCAAGTTGTTATACAATTAGATTTTTAATTTTAAATACTAACATTATTTAAATTGAGTTTTATCTATAGTAACGTATGTAATAACATTTTTAATTTAAGTATAAGATATAGTACCATTTAAAAATCATCGTTAGGTTTTTTAAGCATAATTTCTGTCAAAGTTGAAAATAAATCAAATGCATATAAATTATTTGTACAGTAGAAATCTAGTGGCAGATACACTTTGTACATAAAGTATAATGAGATTGAATAATATACGCCATAAATTTTTAATTTTTTATTAACTTTTCTAAAATAGCGTTTTTATACTTATTTTATTTTTCATGTCATAGTTATTATTTTTATTATCATGTCCTAATTTTAATATAGTTGGACTTAGTATTTTATATTATGACAAAGACTTGTGGTATTCAGTAGGAACAACAATAAAAGAACCGTTGTAAAATAACAGCCATAAATAAAAATGGACATACAAGGAACTCGCTCAGCAATTTGACTCTTCTAATTTAACAGTGACCAAGTTTCTTAAATATTAAAAGATGAAGAGAAACTATGTTAAAAAGGAAAAGAACAGCCGACAATGTTGCACTTTTCTCATCATTAGCAATATCCTTCGTACATCTTGTAGCAACCTATATCTCACAGCTTTGGACATTGCTAAGTCAGTATTGACTTCTGGATAGTACAATCTGTCTACATAGATTATATGTCATTGTTTATGTGAATGACAACCAGTGAAAAAATCATTCGTTTTCGTAAATAATTGGAAAGTACACGTGGAGTTTGCTAAAGCATATCAACTGGACATTCCAGCAATGGTCTGTCTTCTGGAACAGTAAAAGTAAGTTTATGTTGTTTGATAATGATATAATATGGATTTGTTGCTGGATAGCTTTACTGGATCTTCCAATGTTTAAGAAACTTGGTTACTGTTGATTTGGATATACCAAATTGCTAGGTAAGCTTCTTATTTGTCCATATTTGTGACCCTTTACAATAGCTTTCTGTTGTCATCCATATCTCAAAGACTGCAGGTCTTCATCATAATGTAAATGTAAAACACTAAATCTAATTACTAAAATTAAGTAAAAGCAATACCTGTGACATAAAAAGTAAAGAAAATACAAAAATGTGATTTTGGCAAAAGTTTATAAATTGAAAAATTATGACATATATTGTTAATCTCATTATACTTTATGTACAAGGATATTTACTAAGACAAATTTGAGCACATTTGATTTGCTTTGACAGAAGTTAAGCTCAAGAAACCTAAAGATGATACACTTTTGAATGCTAATGTAAGTTGGATGACTGATAAATTTTATCATCTGTCGTTCAAATTATTTTATACTTCTGGATTAATTAACTTTAATAGAATATGTTAGTGACAATATTATAAATTGTTTTAGCAATTTTGGATATATCAAGATATTGAAATAATCATATCATAGATTTATTCTATCAATACATCAATGACTAAAGATAAAAAGGTTACACTATTATATTTATAAATATTATATATGTGCTTGCTTTATACACACCACACATACGTGTGACAGGGTATGTGCGTATATATATATATATATATATATATATATATATACATACACACAAAGTATCCCGTTTTAACTTTTGCATCAAAATATTTCGTAAAGTATAAAAGATACATAAAAATGTTTCAAAAGTTATATGACTTCAAGGGGGACAATAAGATAATACCGTTGGTTTGACCTTGGGAAGCATTGTCAAGATCAGGACAAGATCACTTTATTGGAACCTCTGTTTTTTATTATATATTCTTGTAGCTTACCCTAAGAGCTTTTCAAAGCACTATAATGAAGTATTTTTTTAGTAAGTACTTTTCAAGTTATAAGGCTTGAAGGTTACAGTACCACTGGCGTTAACATTATCCAAAGTATTGGACTGATTGTTAAAACCTCTTGAATATTATTTTGGATCGTGATCTAGATAACATTTATCAAGAAGAAAGGCCATTGTGTTCCTGTTATTTTTCCATAAAATCGTGGGACGATTAAAAATGCTCCACCTTGTGCATGTATAGTGTATATATTATTCATACACACATACCCACACGCGCGTGCAAGCACAGGACACTCTCTATGTGTATACATGTGTATATATATATATATATGATGTATGTATGTGTGCGTGCGTGCGTGCATGTGCAAATATAGATGTAAAATGTATGTGCATGCAGAGATATGTATCCTGTAATTTTTTTATGTAATCATCATTTTTGTTTCTATACTCATTGAAGCTATCGTTATTGTTACATTTTTTTTAAATTTTTTTAAATTTTGTTTATATTTACATTTAGGAAATATTATAGTATAAAAGTTGAACATTGGAACATATATTTAAATCTTGCTTTTTATGATTTCAGTTGATCCTGCATGCTGAGCACTGTGTACTGACGTTCTGTCTACCCACAACACCTCTGCACCGTACTTTTTTATTATTTTTGCCAAATATATTGCATTCATATTAGAAATAAAAATATGGCTGCCTATATCAATCGTACAATGGTACAATCGTCCATGATTGGAGGGGACAGCCAACTTCGATCAGATGTTAGAAATGATAATTCTCCTCTACAGATCTTTGTTAAGGCAAAAAAAAGGATAAATGATGTATTTGTGGATATAGAAAAATATGTGGAGGAAACAGTGGAATTTATGACATGTAAGTAAACAAATGGAGCAAGTATTATAATGTGTTTATTTATGTGGAGCATCTAAAAGATAAGTTTCCCTATTTATGAAAAAAATTCATTATGCGAATAGCTTGTGCATTGTAGAGATTTTTCACTGGAGTATTTTAGCACTTCTTTCATTCTTAGTCACTTTTACTGCAATTATTATTACCTGAACAAATTTTAATCATGGAGGCTAATATATATAAGACATATCTTAACTGTGAATTACATGCAGTAATTTTGTTGTTAACCACAAAAAGTGAAAATGTAATAAATATTCATATTGTCAATTAATTTGATAAAAAAATATGTATGATTAAATATATAAGTTCAACGATGACGATCAAAGTTTAACTCGGTCGCATAAAAATTAATGGTGAGCCTCAATACAATAGGTCGCACACGTTAAATTCATTATTCATTATTTTTTAAATAATTATAATGAAAATTCATTATTTTGCACCAAGTGATTTTCATTTGTTTCTTGCATTTAAAAAATATTTGGATAATTTATTTTAAAGCAGAGAATTTTTGTTTTACTTTCTAACAGATCTTATTTTGTTAATAACTTTTAAATGAACAACGAGCAATGATTAAAATCTGTTAGAGGTCACTCAGAGTCATGACCTTGACAACATATGTCAAGATCAAGGTTATCGGTCTTGGCTCCCTCTATCTGAATATTTATCAACTTCATTATTAAGTTAATAAAATAAAAAGGTTTTATAATTGTTTTAATTTTCGTTTTATTTTTCTATGATAGGAAAATTTATACTTTTAGGATGCCCTTATATTTATTGGTTTGACAATTAATTTATCTAACTTCATAACAGCATTACAAAATGATCGGAATATTGTAACTTCAGAAGAGGCAATAAAAGTTAAAACTTACATAGATAAAATACGAGCTATAAAAGATGTTCTTAAAAGAGATCACATGAAAGTTGCCTTTTTTGGCAGGTGAGTGAATTACATTAAATAATTCGTAAAATGATCATTTTTACATCTTATCAATTGAAATATCCTTTAGATATATTGTAATAGATATCCTGGAATTATCCTTGAATTGACTAGACAGAGTTTAGACATCATAAATAAATCAATTAGTTTAAAGAAAATACATAATTTAAAAAACTATGTAGGTAAAATGGATAATTTTTTTTAAAGCAATTGTGTATTTTCTTTACATCAATTTATTCATCTCATTATTCTATTCATATTCTGATTTTATATTTCCTTTGAAGTAAAAATCTTTTGTCTGAAACATTTTTTGATTTAACGCAGTGTTTCTGTTTTCTGAGATATTTAAATGAATCTTTTAAATGGATTTTTTAAAATGGGACATCTTATATATATATAAAGTACACAATCTCTATGTGTATGTGTTGCAGAACAAGTAATGGAAAAAGTACTGTAATTAATGCCATGCTACATGATAAGATTTTACCAAGTGGCATAGGGCATACTACAAATTGTTTCTTACAAGTTGAAGGTTCAGATAATGGAGAATCATACCTTATTACGGAAGGATCTACTGAAAAACAACCAGTTCAATCTGTTGGACAGTTAGGTCATGCTCTTTGCAAAGAAAAATTATGTGAAAGCCATTTAGTTAGAATATTTTGGCCAAAAGAAAAATGTTTATTGCTGCGAGATGATGTAGTGTTCGTAGATAGTCCAGGCGTAGATGTAACTCCAAATCTTGATGAATGGATTGATAAGCATTGCTTGGATGCGGATGTTTTTGTCTTGGTAGCAAATGCAGAATCTACTCTAATGGTTACTGTAAGTATAATATTTATTTATAATAAACATTTGTAATATAGTTTATTACAAAGAAGAAGTAATTAGATATTATATATTTGATAAATGCAATATATTTATCTGTAATACACGTAATCTGGATATCCGAAAGAAAAATTATTTTAGAGAAAAATATTTATTTATTTAACAATAGCATTCAATATTTGTGAAGAAAGTTTGATTCGTATTGCCATTGTATCTAATATTCTAAACAGTAAAAGGATTTTACCCGTTTGAGTCTTCTTTATTTTCATTTGTATCTCAAAGAGTTCAGAGATACAGTACTTTTTAATTTTTACGCAATCCCTATATAATAAAATTGAAAAGCACTATATCATCAAACTCTTTGAAATACAAATAAAAGAGGTACAAACTGGTATAAACGATTATCTTTCGAATGCTGTTAGTCGTTTTTCAATGTCTTGAAAACTGGCTAAGTTCGCTGTAGGGATTGCGCAAAAATTGAAAAGTGCTGTATTTCCGAACCTTTTGAGGGACAAATAAAAATGAAGGAGGTACTAACGATTCTCTTTCGAACGGCATAAGCTATTATAAATTAAAACATCTTTGTACATCAGTTGTACGTTTATCATTTTTTATATTTCATTAATTTTCTTACTATTTGGGGTACAAACGCGCTACGGTATCCATTTATATTTTTAATAATATTAGTTCATGCCGGTTTTGAGTTGTGCTGAGTATCATTGCGTAATATACATATATAACGATAATTTATTTAGTAAATAATATCAAACGTTTCAACTTTTTTAACATAATCACCTTTAGTGACACAATTTTATAAATATAATTATAATATTGTTCGGGTAATTAAAACGATAGTACATAAATCTTAAATAATCGATTGAATAAAAATTCCTTTTTGTACATTACGCAAATATCCATGTTTAAATATATATACCTATTGAAACCAGTCTCATGAAATCGTCAAATAAATATTTATATCATTTTTTGATTTATCAAAATAATTATTTAATTATCATTTTTATTTTTTTAGGAAAAAAATTTCTTTCACAAAGTTTCAACAAAGCTATCTAAACCAAACATATTTATTTTAAATAATCGATGGGATGCTTCTGCCTCCGAGCCGGAATATTTTGATCAGGTATGCATAAAGTACCATTTATAGAAAATTAAATGTCTTATAAACAATTATAACTTACTTCATGCATTTAATACTATTATGCATAAATTATGAAAATAAAGTGGATTCTGCGACCTAAAATTTATAGAAATACCTATTCTGGTTTGTGTTTCTTACTCAAATTTCTTTTGCGATACTGTGTTATTAAGTATGAAAAGTCGTCTTCATCGAATATAGTATTTTTTATTTGTATGTGTTTAAAATCATCGATCAATTTTTATTCAATAATGTAATATTGAACTTTTGTATTAACCCGTAGTGGTCACACTGGGTCTGTCTGACCCGAGGCAATTTTTGAGGTGATGTAGTCAATAGATCAAGTAGAACGCAAATGGCGACTGTTTTTTTGCGTCGGATCAACTGGACCCAGTGTGACCAATACGTTATTTTTAAGAGGTGTGACCACTACGGGTTAAGAACGTGATATTAAATTTTATATTTATACTTATATTTTCTATGCATGCATTTTAAGTAAAGAATTTATATCAGAAATTAATTTTTATAATATTATAATCTAATTGAATTTAGTAATATTCTTTATTCTTTAGCTGGCCAAAGAACAAAAGGAGGTAAGTTTATTTATATCATGGAAATTTTTATTTACTTGCAAATGGTACTTATATTATACCTATATTAAATCTACTTTAAATATACGATTCATAATTTATGTCAGATTTTAGGATGAAATATTTAAAATGTTATTGCAGTATCTGTATTTTAATATAGATTTTACGTATATGTATCTTTCTATAATTTTTAAAAACGTTGATATATTATAATATAAAATTGTACATGAAGTTCTATTGTATCGTTATACATTTTAAAAATTTATATGTTTACGTACACCGAGTATTCAAATGAAGTATTACAAATGTTTTGTCTTGAAAACATGGCATTATTGAAAAAAATTGTGCAAACCAAAGTTATGTAAGTTTTAGTTGGCAGTTGATATTTGTTAAAAAGTTATTAACAAAAAAGTTTAAAACATAACTTTATTTCTGCTGCACTCGTAACATTAAGAACTGTAATGTCAAAAACTATCCCACATTCCTCCCACATTGCGTAATAACTTTCCATGCGAAGTAAGGTCTTCTCTATACAGCCCTGCTTGGCTGCGTTCAGAAATATTACCCATATTTCCCTGAGTATCATTTTATTCTTATTGTTCATTCAATGTTAAATAAGAATAAGATGATACACGGGGGTACTTGGGGTGATATTTCCGAACGCAACCCTTAGGGATGTTTAATGCGAGTGAATTCTGCTTCGCATGAAAACGCATACATCCATATTATCTATAAAGTTCTTTACAGAATAATAGTTTATCAACAAAATTTAATATACTTAATATCATATTTAAATTATAATTTAATTATAATACAAATTTTTATTTATTTATGTACTTTTTATGTGTAGGTAAGAGCACAACATCAAGAACGTGCTGTTGACTTTTTATCGAGGGAATTAAAAGTCTATAGTCCAAAAGATGCTGAAGATCGTGTTTTTTTCATTTCTGCAAAGGAAACTCTTCAAGCTCGAATGCAAGAACAACGTGGGCAACCTGCTCATAGTAATGTATTCCAAACTTTTTATATTATTAACAGTTTCTTACGTTTTAAAATCATTTTTAGATAAAATAATTTTTAATTAATTTATTCACTATATATAGATGGTGCGTTAGCAGATGGTTTCCAAAATCGATATTTTGAATTTCAAGATTTTGAAAAAAAATTTGAAGAATGTATCTCAAAATCTGCAGTAAAGACTAAATTTGAACAACATTCTCAGCGTGGCAAACATATCGCAACGTAAGAAAGTGAAAAACTTCTACACAATTTTTATAAAATTTTTTTAAATTGATATCGAGAAAAAGAAGAAATGTTCCATAGAAATATTCAGTTTTTTTTTATTTATTGCAGGAAAATACGTCAAACATTGGATGAGATATTAGAACGAACACAAAAAATGCGAAGTGAACAGTTAAATATCAAGAAAGAGCTCCATGATAAGTTAAATTTTACAGAGCAACAATTGATGCTATTAACTCAAGAAATGAAGGATAAAATTCACCATATGGTAGAAGATGTAGAGCAAAGGGTTTCTAAAGCTTTAAACGAAGAAATTCGGCGATTAGCCGTTTTAATAGATGAATTTAGTGTCCCATTTCATCCTGAACCACTTGTTTTGAATGTATATAAACGGGAACTTCATACACACGTAGAAAATGGTTTAGGTAATTTTCAATTACATATTTGATGATTTCATATGAGTATATTATATGACAAGTTAAAATAAAGTTTGCTATTGTATATATTTTAGGATCAAATTTACGAGCAAGACTTAGTACTGCTTTAGCATTAAACATGGAAAATTCGCAGCGAGAAATGACAGAAAGAATGTCAAGCTTATTACCTGAAAACAAAAGACAAATGTCACTTAACATTTTACCACGACGAGAACCGTTCGAAATATTTTATCGACTGAATTGTGACAATTTATGTGCAGATTTCCATGAAGATTTGGAATTCCGTTTTTCATGGGGTTTTACAGCTATAATTAATAAATTTGCAGGAAAACAGAGTCAGAAATTAACTATTACTAATTATCCGCAAGAGGTAAGTTGTGAAATTTTGATTAATTTTGAATTGAATTTTTTAAATGAAAATGTAGTATCCATAACACAGGACAAAATTAAAATTTTTTAAAGTTGTATTAAAAATGTATATTGATTTTATAGGAATTTGATTACGCAAATCCAAAAATAATTTTCTTTTATAAAAAATTAACTCAGATTATATATATATTTTTAGTATATTTAAAATAGGTTACATGAAAGTCTTAAAAGCATAACAAAAAGATGGTAGTCTTAAAAATATACTGTCGCGCGTTTTTGCCTCTTTAATTTTCCATTTTTTTTTTAATTGTGATAAAATTTAGATAGCGTATTCAGCAAGCAAGAAAATACATTAGAAACAGCTAAAATGGATAAAACAGTTTTTTTCATGTTGTCCTGACATTTATTATTGATACCTATAGGAGCTAAAATTGGCACTAATATACACCATTAGATATAAAAATGATCATGTTTCCTGCAGATTCCACCATGTATCTCATCACCTGCAGATAGCATAGATTCTCTCAAATTTGTTACAAATACACCAAATTTTCCAACAAGATCTGATGATTGGTCTCTAGCTACTCGTATAGCAGTTGCATCTGTAACATCACAGGGTACAATGGGTGGTCTCATCATTGCTGGCTTTGTATGTACAATACTATTTATAATTTATACTTTTATATCTAAAAAATAAATCAATATTTTTGTATTTAACAAATAAATGTTTTTTTAGATGTTAAAAACAGTAGGTTGGAGATTAATTGCTATAACTGGTGCTATATATGGGGCTTTATATCTCTACGAACGTTTAACATGGACTAATAAGGCAAAAGAACGTGAATTTAAGCGACAATATGTTACACATGCTACCAAGAAGCTACGATTAATTGTAGATCTGACTTCTGCAAATTGTAGTCATCAAGTGCAACAGTATGTTATAATATTCATATATCTATACATATAGTATAATAGGGTAAATTTTGACATTAGAAGAGCTCTAATAACTTTGTCTTTAACATATGTTATCAAGGTAATTATGACTTTGAATGACCACTAACAGGTCGTTTTAGTCGTCGTTCATTATTTGTTAAAAAAGTTATTAACAAAAAAATTTAAAAAGATAATGTCTTATTTCTGCTATATGTATACAATATTCAGAACTACTCTATATCTTTTCCTACTTAGATAATAACTTCCCATGCGAAACGAGATTCACCTCACATGTACCTTCTACCTAGGGGCGTACAACTATTCATGCGAAGCAAGATTCACCCACATGAAAAGTTGTATGATCCTAGGCAAAGAGAGGAGAGTATGGACTTGCATAAAATTTACTACTGAAATTACAATTTAACTCTATATATATCTCAGAAAATATAAGAGATCATCCCGTAGTTAAAGCAATGTTATTCAGGATCATGACTTTAGCGACATATCGTTAGAGCTGGATCCCCTAATGTCAACATTTTCCATATTCAGACATAACAATATGTAAATATGTAAGAAATAATGTGTTATTTTGATTATATTTTTTATTTTTTAAAAAGCTATTCGATACTTTGAAATATATTGTGAAATAAACTATCATAGTATAGAATTTCAATTTCTTTATGATATTACTTATATTACTTATATTACTTTGAATGCATTTTTGTATTTAATGGACTTATGATATATCTTTTTCACAAAATTATTTCTTAAACTATAATTCAAAATCTTTTTATATTATAAAATATTATAGTATACTTACTTTGTATTTCTTTTGTGTAATAATATTTGGTATAATTACATATAGAGAGCTCTCCAGTACATTTGCAAGACTCTGTCATTTGGTAGACGAAACAACATCTGAAATGGATACCGAACTGAAAACTATAGGAAATACTTTAGCAGTATTGGAAAAAGCAGCAGCCAAAGCAAAACATCTTCGAAACGAAGCCAACTTTTTGATAAATGAACTCGATACATTTGATGCAGCTTACTTAAAACCATTAAATTAAATTAATAATGTGTTTTGTACACATTTAAAATTGCGTAAGTAATTAATATTTTGAAGTAATATTTATATGTGATATGTAATTGTTTAATATATCTAATATTTTAGTTCTTAATTTAGAAGTAGTAATTAACGTCTTGTATAACAATTGAATGATAGACATGTTTATGCATACACATATAAATATAGGTTTATAATCTATCTGATAAATTACTATAGTTACCTATGTTCACATAAAAGTGATTTTATATCACATAAGAGAAATGAACAGTTGTATTTAAACTTGCGATAAATATGAGACACAATATCTTAAAAAGTACACTAAAGGATGTTTCTACCTAATAAAAAAATTCTAGTCTTAATATAAAGGAAAATCAATTTCTTACATCAAAACAAAAATAAGTTAAATAACTTATTTTTATTAATTCTAATAATACATTTTTTTTCAACAGGTAATTATAATGTAATTGTTATATAACAAATATATTAAAAGCAAATTTAGATTTATATGAATTTTTTTACTTTCAGAAGCAATATATCAAAGGTTGTTGAATATTCTATTAAGTTTTCCTTTAATGAGACTCAGATAAATTATGTTTATTTTATCTTAGATCTATTACAGGTTATATTAATCTTATGTATTAAGAAAGAAAATATATAAAACATACATAAAAAGCTAGAAACACATAGGAAAATATAAAACAGTAAAACCTAAACAATAAGTTTGAATTAACCAATCATGCAGAAAATGTAACAACAACTTATGTTTAATAGCTTTATATGTATATTTTATATGGATTTTTTTTGTCTTATATTGTATGTATTATGGATTGAAAATTACCTTTTGTGATTAGACTGTATATTTATCGAAAAATGTATGTAATTGTAAAACTACGAATAAATATAATCAACTGTTATACATGAGTAATAACTCTCTTTATAGTTTAATATAAAAAAAAGTTCATAGATAAAACTGCACGTATTTTTACAGTTTTATTTGTATGGTATATGTATATTGTGATCGTACTCGCGAGCAATTCGTCACGCTTTCGTCTAACTTTTATTCAGCAACTCGCATTATTATCTTGGTCCTCAAATTATCGGTTGTCATTTATTATAAATTGTCGCAACATTCTTCTAAATTCTAATTAGGTGTTAGACACGCGGGAACGTGCCTGCCACTCTATCTAATTGTTAGATGACTTGAAATAATATCTCCTATTTATCGCGACGGGCGGAATCTAACCGCTCAGTACGGAATTAATAGAAAAGGTGATAAATGATGTCAAATAAATGCCCTTAAATGGATTTTTACCGACAAAGAAGGTGAATGCTAAAAATGTTTGGACTGTATTTCGCTACACTGCAATAAACAAAATAGTGTCGTCGACACTAGTTCCGTAATAAAGAACGCTTTAAAATGTCTGCTTCTTACGCTAGTTCTAAATTTATTAATAAAAAACAAATTTTTTGTTTTTTTTAGTAAACTATCAAAAATTTATATTATATAAAAAATATGGTAAAACTTTTTTCATTGCTTGATTTGATAACTGCTCGAAAGAACATCTGCGACGAAAAATTTTTGTATATTTCTGTAAATAAAATCATTAATAAGATTATATTGAGTTCTCTTTGAATTAAATAAAATTTTTCTGTTTAATTTTTCTCAATGAAATAAAAAATTTCGCGATTCTATACGTACACACTTCATATAGAGTCATATAAAATTATATATCAGAACGCACTGTATACTTTTGAATGAACTATGAGATCTTGAACGAAAATGATTTTGAAACACTCTATATGCTGTTCGCCTAGTACAGCTGAAATATACAATCCGCTCCATCACAACTCAACACAGACGTTTCGTGTCTCGTCACTGCTCGTCACAAGTTACATTTATCTCGACAAGATTGTGGTAGAGAATACATAAGAAAATTAGATAGAGAGAGATATCCACGGTCAAATAAATAAACTTTGATAACGATTACTGCCTGATACCACTTGTTAGTCTCTCATTTACTTCTATCTGTTTTACACTGCCATACGTGTCAACTGGAAATATAATAATGACTGATCAAAGTCATGGAGTAATCAATTTTGGCGCTGGTCCAGCTAAATTACCGCATCAGGTGTGTATATAAAAATATTATTTATAATTCGCATTAAGCAAAAAATTGCAAAGTTAAAAGATTGTTTTTCAAAAATACACAAATAATTAGTTTTATAATATTTATTTTATTAATATTAAATGTTTTTTAATCACTGTAAAAGAGAGAGAGAGAGAGAACGCATGATTTTTCTATTTAAATAAAAATCTATAAAACAATTTATTAATTATAATATGTAATGATAATTTTATTAACATATGTTTCTAAGAATAAATTAACCTTATAGTTGAAATATTAACAATAGGCCTGTTCTTTTCTCTTCTCCTAGAGAGAAATGGAAGAAAGATGAACAGGTTCAAAAGTTCAGTCAAAAAAAACAGGGGAGATCCATTTTTGAAAAGAAATATATACGAAAAACTAGGAAAATACTATAGTATACGTAACGTATACTGTAGTAATATCCTAGATTTTCGTATAAGTTTCTTTTCAAGAAATTTTCCTAGTTTTTCGTACACGGTTCTTTTCAAAAATAGAGCCCCAGACCTTATGTCATTTGTTAAGATACACATAAAATATTATAAAATAAATTGACATATTACTTTTATGTTTTGTCAGTATTTGCTGATACATTTCGACAATAACTTAAAAGTCTTAAAACTGACAATAAGTAAAAGTAAACCATCTCATTTTATAACCATTAAAATGGAACGTATAATTTAAATGATTGCCTCGATGAGAGAGAGAGAGAGAGAGAGAGAGAGAGAGAGAGAGAGAGAGAGAGAGAGAGAGAGAGAATCTTGTAGTTCGTCATATTGTATACTGTTAATAGATTCTTTTATATTTCTGCTGGTCTTTTGCAAATAAAATTTATAACAGGCACTTTGTAAAATATGTTTTCGATAGATTAGACTGTCTGGGAACGTCTCTCAATAAGAAAATTAACATAAGTTTATATATATTTTTTAAACATACGATATGTATATGATAATTTTATTTTACTAATTTTGATAGTTTTATTTTATTATTTTCATTTAATTTATGAAATCATTATTTAATGCAGTTATATATATGTATAACATAAATTTTATATATGTATATTACATATATTTTGTACATAATTATATATAGAATGCATATGCAGAGTAAACATTAATTATTCTAAAAAATTTTAAGGAGTGATTCTTCATACAAATTTATGATAAAAACTTTATATGGCTATTTGTCGGTGATTGTTTATAGCGATTTAAGGCAAATTAGGCAGGCTATATATATATATAGTGCTCACTCAGCGTACATTAAAGCTATCATGTATAAATTGATGAATAGATGAGTTAAATATAAATAGGAATGGTTAAATTCTCAGCACACTTTATTGTGTTGCTTGATAAAAATATATTTTACAATAAAAAATGTTTATATTTAACTTTTACATTTAGATATTAAATCAGTATATAACAATTTTAATATACACTAGTGCGCATTAATGCATCCAATCAAGTTTGTTATTAGTTTCAAAGATATAGGACGTTAAAGTTGTGAAGAAAAATTTCAAAAATTAAAATTATTTTGATTTTCAATCTTTCTCTCTGTAGAGTGAAAGGATACAAACTTTCGACGATTTCGTGACCGCTCCGAAATCGTTTTATGTTTATGTTTTTGTATGTATTTTTCTTTGTAGAAATCGAAAATAATTATTATAATAACGCCAGACTTGAGGAAAAATTGGTACATTGAAATAAAATGAACGAAATTCTTATTCGCATCGTTATAAAATCACTGTCATCAATGAAATGTGTCTGCTTTAATAATTTATTTATAAAATTAATTTCAAATTTTTTCTCTTATTATTTTTCTCTTGTTATCAGCAGTAAATCTACGTGTTCATCGTATGGTAGCAATTTTCTTGATGATGAAATGTGCGTCGTAACCCGATAAATTGTGAAAGACTACGGATATGCAACACAAATTTCTGTAATTTAAGTTACAATTTGCATGTGCGAGGCCTCTCTGTATCGTTCAAGTGGCAATGATCGCGTAACCGCATGTCATCTAGTCTAACCGGTTTTTCTCACACGTGACAGTGCGTGGTGCTGTTAAGTTTTTCCCAGTTATCTCGCATGAAATCTGCCATGGGTACATTGACTGAAATTGTAGACCGTATGCGCTAGAACTTCAAATCACGCATTTTATCCTTGATGTATGAAAATTGAAAGAAGTCACATTATTGTCATGAAAACATATAATTGTCATCTATATTTGACTTAATTGTGTTCATTCGTCAATATGTTTGGCTATTGCATTTGTTTTGTATTGCAAATGACAGATTACGGCAATCAATCAAAAATCATTACCTCGGTGACTCTTATTATAGTAATTCGTGGAGTACATTTTAAAACGTTCCTTTTCGAGGAAAATTTTACTCATATACAGTACATGTAACTTGTACTATAGTATATATAGAGTAAAATTTTCCTCAAAGAGGTCATTTTGGAATGTAACTTAAGTGTATCAAATTACATAATATATGATAATATCATCACGAAACATGTGATATGTCGAATGTCACCTTGCGTACGTTTTACGATAAGAATTCAAATATTGAATGTGAATTAATAATGTATGCATGTACGCTTTGGATGATATTGATGTATACGTAATACATTACACGAAAAATAAAATGTATAAATAATCTCAGCATTCGCAATTATTTGCTTCCTTCATTCTATTCTTCTTCCCTCAGCAGCATCTCGGGGTGGATTTCCGAAAGGGTGAAACCCCCCAACTTTCTTGTCGATTTATGTACTACTGTATTTCGATGCCCTATAATTACGAATATAATTATGAAAATTACTGACAAAAAGTCATTTTTAAGGTCAAATATTTAAAACATTTATAAAACCATTTTTATCTATGCCATTGTATTTTTGTGTGCTGATTACAAATATTCCATAAATGTATTGTTGCACGTGGGTTTCGACTTTCCACGTGAAGCGACTCTCTGCACCCTTCCTTCCCCCTTAAAAGGGCGCATGCCTTTATGCAAAAAGTGTGAAAAAAAATTGTTTTTTAGATGTTTGACCTTGAAAGCAACCATGTTGGTAATTTTCATTATCATATTCGTAGGGCATCAAAATGCAGTTGTATAACAATCGACTAGAAAATCAGAGGGTTCACCTTTTCGGAAGTCTCTCTATTCCTTACAATATATATATTCTATTACAATAATTTTTTAGAAGAAGTATATGTAAATTTGTATTAGATTGTGTGTAATTTTGTAAAATCTCTACTTCTGAGAAATATTGATAACTTTCTTGAGAGATTTACAAAGTCAATCTGTGATTTTTAAATCCATGCCGCAATTGATGTGCGGATAGATAGGTCTCTTTGCATTTTATGTTGTTATTATAAATAAATAATATATTTTCATATTTATATAAATATGATATTGCGATAAATGCATTTTATTTTAAAATTACCTCTTTGTGCTGTTAGAGCAATCTTTTGTTTCGATTGTCACAATATTAAAAAAAAAAAAACGCAAATTAATTACGTTTAATGAACTAATTGATATAATCGATATTGTTTTATCATTTACAGGTTTTGAAAAAAGTGCAAAAGGAATTACTCGCGTATGGAAATACACAAATCAGCATTCTAGAATTAAGCCATCGATCAAATGATTTTAAGAAAGTTATTGATGATGCGCAGGCTACTTTGCGAGACATCCTGTGAGTCAAGAATTTAAATAATATTTGATAAATAAGTTATTTATTTTAAAAGTGATGTATAAAACTATTAATAATGTTAAGAAAATTATAAATTACTATAAAATATATTGATAATTGTGATGCGCCATATATGACAATCAATTAGTGAAAAACAAACACTTTAAAAAATATATAATTGAATATTCCAAAATGTATAATTTTTTAAATGAGCAATTATATGTTTTTTTATTGTATCAATGAATTTATCTTATTATTCTGTGCATAGAAATATGAAGGTACAATGATAAAAAAATGAATAGTTAAAGAAATATTTATTATTTCATTCAGCATATGTGTGTGACAGAATAAGTATAAAATAACTCGACTGATTTTTCAATATCTCTACTTTAATACTTTTACATGAATAAATTAAAAGAATTATGTTAGATATAAAAGAAATTATATAATTCTATTTTTAAGAGATAACAATAGTCCTTATTTGATCTGAAAGAATTGAGATAGAAAATTAATTTTATTATTGTTCGCACCTCGCAAGCCATAAAACTTTTTTTTAACGTTTTTCTGTATTTTTCTATTTTTTTATATTATTTAAAACGAAATGAGATTATATACTCTATTTATAAATGTTTTTCGCTCGCGCGTAAATTACTAATTCTTATAAATAATTTCTGTTTTCTAAAGTAATATTCCTGACAACTATCACATCTTGTTCATGCAAGGAGGCGGTACTGCCATTTTCGCAGCTGTTCCTCTAAATATTATGAATACAGGAACTGCTGATTATTTAGTAACAGGTAAAATATAATGCAAAACAAAACTCTTATTTAGACCGTGAAATTAAACTATAAAGGCTATTATTCTTATCGGTGTCTAAAAAATAATGATTTTCATATGTTTAATATAAAATAGAATAAAAAAAGTTTCATAATCTAAATATATTTATTTAGGCTCATGGTCTGCAAAAGCGGCAAAGGAAGCGGCAAAATATGGAAAAGTGAACATGGTTTTATCTAAAGTGACAAAATACATAGAAATTCCGCATCCCTCCACATGGAACTTAGACGCGAATGCATCATACGTTTATTACTGCGCTAATGAAACTGTGCATGGTAAACTTTTTGATTTGTTTCATTATATTGTTTTAATCTAGATTACAAAAATAAAAATCAAAACGTAAGTCAATTGTAAAAAGGAAAAGTAATAGAAGCTAGAGTAAATGAAACTTTTAGAAAGCGTAATGACGAAAAATAAAGGAAGTGCAGTTTATCTCTTATGCTCGTTTTCCATTTCGCTGTTATAATTTATGTTTCTAAAGCATCCAATGTATGTTTTTATCATTTTATCTTTATACTCGACTTATGTTCCGATCTTTATTTTCGTTAGAGATTATGTACGAATATATCGAGTACTAAAATATATATGTGTCCAGGAATCGAATTTGATTATATTCCGGAGACAAATGGTATACCACTTGTTGCTGATATGTCATCTAATATACTCACGAAACCTTTTGATGTATCTAAGGTGAGTATCTAATTTAAATATGAATACATCTTGAAACATATTGCGTTTGATGACATTTTGTTTACTTACATCATATAGTACGCGCATTATTTCACTCTTGTCAATGAGATTTTGCATTGCAATATTTCCGATGTAGGGCATGTAAAGAAAGAATAAAGACACTTTTACGGTATAATTCGAATTCGAGCTATCAAGCCTACTTTAGAATTTGATCAGTTTAGTCCATATTAAAATCCGATAATCTCGGGCTCACAACTTTTGCTGGCTTACGTAAAGGTACATGATATTAAACGTTACATTTCCTCTTAGCGCTGATCTACTACCGTATGTCTCTTAAAAAATTAGTTATTATTACATTAACTATAATTTAATAAATTTTACCTCTATATTTATGTTACATATTTTTACTTTAGTAATGCTGGTTTATCTGCAGCTTATTCATAATATGTCATTATATTACATAATATATGAATTGCCAAGTGGCATAAGGCTTAAGCTTATAAGGCTTATGCCACTTAAGTCAACTAAGGGGAACTCATATCATACTCATATAATTATTATAATTATGCTTCTTAGTTTGCAATAATTTTTGCTGGTGCTCAAAAAAATATTGGTCCTGCTGGTGTCACTTTAGTAATCGTACGAAATGATATGCTTGGTCGTGCTATGAATGTATGCCCGACAGTGTTAAGTTTTACTACCATGGCGAATGATAATTCTTTGCACAATACTCCACCTGTCTTTCAGTAAGTATTATTAGTTATGTTACTAATTTCATAATAACTAGATAAAAAATTATGTACACGATTGATTTGATACATACAAGAGATATGATTAAAAATAAATCTTTTACAAAAGTTTACATAACATTTTATATATCTTGAAAAAGTATAGGAAAAATTTTGTATTTTTTTGTATTTTACATATTATGTTTCTAAATATAGTAACTAAAATTAGCAGTTTTTATAATGATCGTAAATTTTATAATATTTTATATTTATGATTTTACATCATAATTTTTATGTTTTAATATATTTTAATTTCTTTCAGTAAAAAGTATTTCTTTAGAGATAAGACATTAAATTTTTTGTATTGTGTTTAATGGAAGCGTTTACAATTATTAACATTTGTCTATACATATATCTATATATATCGGGAACTATTTTAGAATTTACGTGATGGGTTTGGTATTTGAATGGATCAAAGAGAATGGAGGAGCCGAAGGTATGCAAAATTCTGCCAAGGAGAAGAGTAACAAAATATATAATGTAATTGATGGATCAGAAGGATTTTATATGTGCCCTGTAAAGTTCGATGCACGTAGTAAAATGAATATTCCATTCAGAATCAAAAACGGTGATGAGGACTTAGAAAAAGAGTTCCTTTCAGGTGCCGCAGCTCGCGGTATGTTGCAGCTAAAAGGTCACAGGTCAGTGGAAAATGTATTATAAAATAAAATCTATTATAATATAAAATATTATATAATGGCAATAATTTATTGTTATTGCAAAATTATCTTTTTAAAAATAGGTAAAAAATGCGTCAAGTACT